GTTGTCAAACTGTCCGTTGCTTCTAGGCTTTTTCAGTGACATTATAAGATTTTTTACTTCACTTATTTTTTTTATACTTATATTTTCTTTTCTCTTGCTCTGGAAACAATGACTCCTAACGTTTATTATTATACAATATGCCATAGTTTCAAATAATATCAATTCTACTAACATGTACACTACCAAATGAAATGTAACATATCCTCATATCTTTATTTGTCCTTAGGTAAAAACTAACTCTTGCAATATTCTCCCTGTATAAAAAAGTAGACAGGGGCTTCCCTGGTGGCGCAGTGGTTGAGAGTCCGCCTGCCGATGCAGGGGACACGGGTTCGTGCCCCCGTCCGGGAAGATCCCACATGCCGCGGAGCGGCTGGGCCCGTGAGCCATGGCCGCTGAGCCTGCGCGTCCGGAGCCTGTGCTCCGCAACGGGAGAGGCCACAACAGTGAGAGGCCCACAAAACGCAAAAAAAAAAAAAAAAAGTAGACAAATTGTACTTCATCAAAATTTAAAATCTTTGTGTTTCAAAGAACACTATCAAGGAAGCAAAAAAACAAACCACAGAATGAGAGAAAATATTTGCAAACCTTATATGAGATAGGGAATTTGAGTCCAGTACATTATAAAAACAAAACAAAAAACAAAACAAAATCCTCTCACAACTCAACAGTAAAAAGGCAAATAACACAATTAAAAAACAAGGAAATAATTTGGAAAGACATTTCTCCAAAGAAAATATTCAAATGGCCAATAAGAACATGAAAAGATGTTCAACAGTATTAGCCATCAGGGAAATGCAAATCAAAACCACAACAAGATACCATATCACACCCACCATGACTGCTACAGTCAAAAGACAATAAAAAGTGTTAGTGAAGATGTAGAGGGACTTCCCTGGTGGTCCAGTGAGTGGGACTCCATGCTCCCAATGCAGGGGGCCCGGGTTCCATCCCTGGTCGGGGAACTGGATCCCACATGCATGCCGCAACTGAGAGTCCGCATGCCACAACTGAGACCCGGCACGGCCAAAATGTATAAGTAAATAAATATTTTTTTAAAAATGTAGAAAAATTGGAACCCTCATACATTGCTGGTGGGAATGTAAAATTGTGCAGCCACTGTGGAAAATAGTTTGGTAGTTCCTCTCAAAGTCAAACACAGAGTTTCTACAAGACCCGGAAATTCCATTTCTAGGTATACACACAAAAGAATTGAAAACATTTTGTCCACACAAAGACTTGTACACAAATGTTTACAGCAGTACTGTTCAAATAGCCAAAAAGTGGAAACAGCCCAAATGCCATCAACTAATGAATGGATAAACAAACTGTGGTATATACATCCAAGAGAATATTATTAGGCCATAAGAACCAAAGAAGTACTGATACACGCCACAACGGGGATGAACCTACTTCGAAAATATTACGCTAAGTGAAAGCCACTAGTACACAAAAGGTCACATATATGACTCCGTTTATATGAAATGTTCCGAATAGATAAATCCATAGAGACAGAATGCAGACTGGTGGTTGCCAGAAACCGGGTGACGGAGGAATGCTAATGGGTAGGGATTTCTTCGGGGGTGATGAAAATGTTCTAAATTAGATAGTGGCTATGGTTGCGCAAACCTATGAATACAACTTTACTCTTAAAAAGGGTGAATTTTAGGGCACTTGCATTATAGCTCAATTAAAAAAAAAAAGGTTTCCGCATTTGTTCCCTAGAGGCCCAAAGAGGAGAACTTCAGTTACCTTGACCCTGCCCCTCTATTCTTCTCTTAATTTTACCGGGAGCTCGGGGCGGCGGCAGTGCGCAGGCGCCTTTCTGCGTCGGAAGGCGCGGAGGGGCTTCGCCCCGCCCATGCAGGATGACTCCTCCCATTCCCCGGCTTGCCCCGCCTCCCTCGCGCGCGGGGACGTGGGCTGCGGCGAGTCAGCCGGCGCCAATCCCTGCTTGCGGCCCAGCTTAGGTTTCCTCAAGTGTGCTTAGCCGCCACCTGGAGTCTGCCAGCGCGTGGGCTCTCGGGAATGAGCAGGACTGGGGGCGCGTTACTGCTTTTCCCCACATAATCGGTTCAGGCAGCACCCCGTCCTGGGAGCTTTCTGCTAAGCCCTACAGGGAGCAGTCACCAAGCATTGCCGGGGGGCTCCTCCTGACACTCCCTGTCCCTGCGTGCGGGGAAAACTGCAGCCCAGCGGCGGGGTAGGGATGAGGCCCTAGAACAGGGGTGGGCAGTCTTTCTGTCAAGGGCCACATGGTAAATATTTTATGCTTTTCAGGCCATATGGTCTCTGTCACAACTACTCAACTGTTTCTGTAGTACAGAAGCAGCCATAGACAGTATATAAAGGAATGCCCGTGGCCTGTTCCAATAGAACTACTCATGGACTCTGAAGTCTGAATCCCATACATGTCATGAAATAGTGTTTTGATTTCTTCAGCCATGTAAAAATATAAAAACTATTCTTAGCCACCGGCTGTAAAAAAGCGTGGTTTGCCTACGTCAGTGCCCTTTTACAGGTTCCCGGTATTTGTCAAGGACACGTGGCCTAAGTAGCCCGGGGAATCCACAGACGCATAGCCGAGACCATTGCCTTGGTCTGAGGATGGGGTGAGACAGTTCTCTGATTCCACCACCCTCCTACTCCAGCATCCAAAGTCTCAGGGACAAGACTCCTCAGAAAGGGAACTCATCACCTGAGGACCAACCTATTTGATCTCAGCAAATTTCTCATAATTCCATTTTATTTTATTTCACTGGATTTTTTGGGGGTGGGGTAGGAAAACTTAATTCTTTTAAAGTGCATTTTACTTTATTTTTAATTGTGGTAAACGGAAAACCTAATTCTTTCGGATCCAGACTGTGTGTTCTTGCAGCTCTCAATTTCTAGCACTAGTTACATAGCCTCTGTGACAAAGCTGGTTCAAAGAGCTAGGACTCTTGTCTGGAGGGCAGCGTGCCAGGCCCAGCCACCTGGATCAGCCTATTGGAACAGAAGCCCCTCCTCTCACTGTCCTTGCTAAAGTGCAGCTGCACAAAAGCAGGCATCAAACAGGGACAGCTGACACATTACACTCAGTATTTGTGTGTTTGCAGAGGGAGACATGGCGACAGGATTTAGGCCAGCGCTATTCAGTAGAAATATAACGTGGCTGATATATAATTCTGCATTTTCTAGTAGCCAAATTTACAAAAGTATATTCATCTTAATATATTTTATTTAACCCAATACGTCCAAAATAGTATTTCAACATGTAAGCAATATAAACAATTATTAATGAAATATTTTATTTTTTCTTTTATTTTTTGGCTGAGTGGCTTGCGGAAACTTAGTTCCCCAACCAGGGATTGAGAACCTGGGCCCCAGCAGTGAAAGTGCCAAGTCCTAACCACTGAACCGCCAGGGAATTCCCTGAAATTTATTTTATTTTTGGTGCTAAGTCTTTAAAACCCGGTGTGCATTTCACACTCACGGCACATCTCGCTGCAGACCAGCCACATTTCAAGCGCTCACTGGGCACGTGCAGCTGGCGGCTACCATATCGTACAGCACAGATTTCGACCAAATGAAACAGGGATTGTGTGTGCCTCTAGTCTGTTGGTGACGCTGAACTGGGTTTGTTGGTGGAGGGTGGGACAAGGTGTATGTTTTGGAACAGGAGGGTTAGCCATAAGGACCCAAAATTGGTGATGGGGTGCGTCCCCAGACCTCTCAGGTTGGGTGGGGAGAGGGGTTGGAAGGGGAAAGATAACCCAAGGGAACGTAGTAGAATTTTTTAAGGACCCACAGCTTAAAACAGGGGGAGGGGGTTTTAGTTCTAAGACAAGCAGCAGTTTCAGCATCGCAAGCTTTTAGATGATTAACCTTTTTTTTTTAACCTATCTTGAATCATAGTTTTATTTATTTAAAAAATTTTTTTCTTTTTCTTTTTGGCCATGCAGCTTTCGGGATCTCAGTTCCCCAACCAGGGATTGAACCCAGGCCACAGCAGTGAAAGCGCAAATCCTAACCACTAGACCACCAGGGAACTCCCTGATGATTAACTTTTTTTTTTTTGCGGACGTGCAGGCCCAGCGGCCATGGCTCACGGGCCCAGCCGCTTCGTGGCGTGTGGGATCCTCCCGGACCAGGGCACGAATCTGCGTCCCCTGCATCGGCAGGCAGACTGTCAACCACTGCGCCACCAGGGAAGCCCCTGATTAACTTTTTTGACGCCTCATTTAGGGGCCAAGGACAGGACTTTTTCCTTTTGATTCCCCCATCCCTCTGCCACCACGTGCATACATGCACTCTGAGCCCTGCTCCAAGACGGGCCTCAGTCAAAGTCTCCCCAGAACCTGAGGGGCCTCACCCTGGGCTGCTACTTCTGGGAATATAGAACTAAGAGTGGGTAAAATCGGGAACATTTGAGTTGGGGGGCTGAGTGGCCGCACCCTTCCCCCTCACTGGCTGGCTTATCAAAGCCAGCCAGTGAGGGGAGAGGGAGGGTCCTTTAACCCAAAATCAAACGTCTGTTTTGCCCGGTACTGGCTGGCTTATCAAAGCCAGCCAGTGAGGGGAGAGGGAGGTTCCTTTAACCCAAAATCAAACGTCTGTTTTGCCCGGTTGAGACCCTTCCCCAGGCCCCAACCACACGTGAGTCTGTGGAGATGTTTTGGCTGTCCACAGGGGTAGCATTTGTGCCTCTGTCCACTTTGGCCATTTGAACCAATCCCTTGGGTCCTCCAGCTCCCCAGAGAGAGCAGTGGGGGCCCTGCACTCAGGGAGTGAAACTGGGACAGGATATCCACAAGCACAGACAGACATCAGTCATCAGGGGTTTTCCAAGGACAAGGATCACACGGGGTCACCTGAGAGGAAAAACACTGAGGTCCAGACACTGAGCTCAGGCCACATGGTCAGAGCAGGAGTGCCTGTGGCTCCGGGTGGGTGAAAATGTCTGCGGGAAAAGCAGTTCCACAGACAGACAGGGAAGCGAATATTGTAGATGAGAAAGACAGAGCCAAATGGGCTCTGGCCACATTTATTACAAAATAAAGATTACAAACCTGGTATAGAAGAGATCCCTGACAGCGGCTGATACACCTGCAATAACCCCACCCCACAAAGTCCCTCCCTCAGGCACACTGGTGTGGAGGCTCTCAGATGCGAAGGTCCCCGGCCAGGAGGGCACTGTATCGGGCAGGTGTGAGGGGCAGGTAGGCGCCCCCAGCCTGGTCCAGAATGTAGAGGGGGTCGGACAGTGCGCTTGGGTCAAAGCCCTCCTTTGCCATCCGAACCTTCTGCTGCTTGAAGGTCTCTGTGGTGGCCAGTGACTCCTGGGGAGGGGGAGGAGTCAAAGGGTGCTGAAGGAAGGGGTATTCTGCCCCAGTGGCTCAGGGGAATCGCCTGAGTTTCGTTAAGGGGCAGGTCTGGGGGAAGGGGGGGATGAGGTCAGGGTTTAGGGGAGGGGGTGACAGGGAAGAGAAGGGGCCAGGCCTGGAGGATGAAGGGGGTGAAAAGCATGTGTCTGGGAAGGAACTGTTCTTTCTCTTCACAGAATGTATTACGTGGGGGTCCCTTTGTGGGGTTTGGGAGCCACTGACTGCTGCAGATATATGGGGTGAGGTAAAAGGTCAGGGCAGGAGTGGCTGGTTACCTGAAGCCTTAGGAATCGAGGCCGGGCATAAGGTGGCAAGTTCTCGGAAACACGGACGTAGAGCTGCACAAGGTCCAAAGAGTGGGGGGGACGCAGAACCAGGGCTGCCATCCCAGCCCTGCCTTCGTGCCCTGGTGGGTGTGGGGGGCAGGGTCAGCCGTGGTAGCTGACCACCACGAGGCCTCATGCTCCCTGCGCCCAAGTAATACCACTTCAGGGTGGTGGGCTGGGTCCCCGCCGCCCCATGGCTGGGCACCTGGCACAGTGACTCCGTAGACGTTCACCTCCTGAAGAAAATCCAGGGCCTCCAAGGCCTCAGCCACCTCAGTCGTGGCCACATTCTCCCCCTTCCACCTGCCAGAGAGCAGAAATTGGAAACTGGGAGTCAGGGGTCAGGGCCTAATGAGATTGGTGGGGAGAGAAAGAGGTCAGGGATGAGGGCGAGGTGCCAGAAGGTCTTGGGGAAGACGTGTTTATGAGGTTGGAGATGAGAGGTTAGGTGAGAAGCTAGGTTGGGGCAGATTAGGGAGTGGAGGTTTACAGGGTTTGGGTCACAGAGATGGGATGCCCAGGAGAGAAATCAGAGAGTTAGGGGCAGATACCTGAAGGTGTCTCCAGTACGATCGTGGAAGCGAAGAAAGCCTTGGTCATCGCAAACCAACAGGTCCCCAGTGTTGAAGAAAACATCCCCAGGCTGGAAGACATCCTTCAGCAGCTTTCCCCGGGCCAGCTCTGGCCCCCCAGCATAGCCCAGGAATGGTGACTGCTGGTTCACGGGGGCCACCAGCAGCCCTGGCTCACCTGGTAGAGTCACTGGGGTCAGGGGGCCGCCGCCCACCACACTCTCCAAGTCCAATCCTCCTCTGCCAACCAGCTCCACCACCCCTACCCACCCCGCCTGGACACAAACCTGGAGATGTGGCCACACAGAGCCCCTGGGTGTTCCGAATCGGCTCCCCTGTGGTGACATCATAGCGAATCAAAGAGAAGGGGAAGACATGCTGGGGGAAGGGAGACCCAGGCACTGGGTCATTTCAGTTGCACGAGCCCCCTCCCCAGCAGCCCCCCGACATTCCACAGGTTCTCCAGTTTCCTCCTGTAACTCACCTTGTAAAGCCAGGAGGCGCGCCCCACGGCACCCCGCTGTCCTGTGTAGTTGAAAGTGGCCACGTTGCCCTCTGTCAGTCCATACGTCTCCAGCACCTGCAGGGGCCCGAAGCGCCTCACAAAGCGCTCCCAGGTGTCTGGTCGCAGCCCGCTGCCCACCACCAGCCGGACCTTATGTCCATGCTCTGCCTTGCTCTGAGACAAGTGGGGAGAGGGGCAGGAGCTTCAACACCAGGATGCCAGCCCCCCCAGGTGCAGCCCTGCCCCCCACTCTCCTTGCACTGCTTCCACTGTGGCCTCCTCGAGGTGCCCTAAGCACCAGAAGCCTACCAGCCCAGGCTCCTTACCCTCCCTTTCCATTTCCTTCTTGCTTCCTCTCCCTCCAACTCCCAGACAACCGTTTCAGTGTCCCCTGCCAAGTGCCCATCTCCCTGCCTTCATGGCTCTGCCCAGGATCTGTGCCCACGCACCGGGGGCTGGTTAACAAGGTATCGGCATAATTCCCCGATGTACTGGAACACCGTCACCCCGTGCTGCTGGCAGTCCTCCCAGAACTGACCAGCTGAGAACTTGGACTTCAGCACCACTGTGGCCCCTGCCAGAATCAGAGAGGGCGAGGAGGAAGGAAGGAGGTGAGGTTAAGAGCTGGGGGGTGGGGGGTGAGGAGTCGTGACCCCCTCCTTCTCAGGCATCAGCCTTCACTGTACTGTACTTCCCTGGAAAGGCCTGGCTGTGACATTCATACTTTCCAAAGGCCAAGTTGGCCCTCATCCTTTCCCACCGTTAATGCTCTCTCCCTACTTCCCATCCCCAAGCAGCCCATCGTCTGAACCCTGCCCCCTGCAAGACCCAACCCTCTTCTCCATTTGCCTCTTCCTGGGCTGACACTCACGGCCCTCCCCTCCCCTGGCGCCTGGAGTTCTGTGAACTGCATGGCCGCCCTAGTTGCTCAGCCTGTAGGTCTGTGCAGGTGACGCTTCTGCATTGAACCAGGAGTTCCTGGAGAGGAGGCCTTGCCTCCTTCCTCTGGATTCTCTACCCTGAAGGACTCAGGAAGCATCCCCAGGTGAGCACACTACAGTAGGTACTTAGTAAATGTTTGCTGGCATAAACATCTGTCGGAGGGCTGAATGGGGGGTTGGGGTGGGGGAGACTGACCAATGCCCAAGCATCCCACGATGCCCAACAGGGAGCCAGACATGTGGTAGAGTGGGAGGGCAAGGTAGATCACATCCTCCTGGTGGGCGCCGCACAGCTGGTAGAATCCTTGGCATTGCAGGACCTTCAGATGACTGATCCGAGCAGCCTTGGGGAGGCCTGGGGGGAGGGGGAGGGGGAGATCAGGAGAAGGGTCTGAGCTCCAAGCCTTGTCTCCCCCTTTGGCCCTGTTGGGTTTCCCACAGAAAGCGGCAGAGGCAAGGCTGAAACTAAGAAGAAGGCAGGCCAGGCCGTCCTAGAAATGTGGCAAGTTTGGAGAGGTGGAGAAATGACGAGGGGTGGGAGGGTTGGCGAGACAGGAAATATGGCTGCTGGGATCAGCCTCCTCTCTGGGGGCTTTGGAGAACTGGACTATGAGCTGAGGAGGTCACAGTTCCCGTTCCCAGGCCCCTGCCTTCCTTGTCTTCAGTTTCTTGGAGGTAAATATCGTGTCCAGCCCTCACCTGTGGTGCCAGAGGTGAAGATATACAGGCACGTATCCATTATGTTCTGGGGGGCAGACAGGTACCCGGGCACTGGCCCATCCACTTCAGCGGAGGCCTCAGCCAGAAAATCGGTGATTCCAGCAGGATGGGTTTCAGAGCCTGCAGCCCACAGGTGGAGCCCCATGGCTCTCAGGGCCGGCAGGTCAGGCTCCAGGGACTCCAGGAACTCTGGATGGGGCGGGAAAGCATAGCTCCACAGCTCTACCGCTACCCAGAAGCCTTCCCCACACTTTACCCCATTTGTTCCCCCACCCCCACCTCGCAGAGCTCCCGGTGAGGCTGAAGAGTACGGTAAGGACGTGGCATCATGGGTCTGGGACCTGGAGCCCAAGTCTTTGGAAATCCTTGCGAAACCAGAGACCCAGCTTTATCCCTTCACGAACCCAGAGATGTCTCCTCACCCTTTCCGAACCCCTGGCCACTCCTTCTTTGCGCCCCCCCCGACACGCCCCTTTCTATGGCTGGCCCCGCCCCCGTCAGTCGAGCGCTCCAGCCTTACCTGGCGCCAGCACGAGCGCGCGGGCGCCGCAGCTGCGGAGGCAGTGCAGTAGGGGACCCCGGCGCAGAGCGGTGGGCACAAAGGCCACACGCAGGCCGGCCTTGGCCAGCCCGAACCAGAGCCACAGGAACTCTGGGCAGGCGGGGAGCAACAGCGCCACGACGGCCCCAGGTGCCAGAGGGGCCGCACCATCCCCTTCCCGCACGGGCCGCGGAGCTCCGCTTCCGGCCGCCGCGTCTCGTACGCCGTGCACCGCCCGCTCGCCTTCCCCGGCGCCCCCCGCGCCGCTGTCGCCGCCGCCGTGTCCCCCGTCCCAGCCTCGCGCGCGCAGGAAGGCGCGCGCAGCCCGGTTGCTCTGGCGCTCGGCCTCCGCGTAGCTAAAGCGTTGCGCGCCGTGAATGAGAAAGGTGTGCGCGGGGCGCTGCCGGGCCAGCTGCGCGAGGCGCCAGGCCAGGCTGCAGCCCCCCTCTGGACCTTCCGGGTCTGCGGCAGCCGCGGCCAGGGCGCGCGCTCGAAGGGCCCGTTTGCAGCGTAGGGCTCGCACCGAGAAGGCCAAGTCTGCCGCGAGCCAGCGCAACTGCGGCCATAGGCGCAGCTTCAGCAGCAGCAGCGGCAGCAGCAGCAGGGGTAGCAGCAGGAGGGCGGCCATCGTGCCCGCTTCCTCGACTCGGCCCCGTCTGGCCCCAGCCGCTCGCAGACTGCCCAGATACTCCCTTCTGAAAACCTGGGACCGCTGGTTCTAGTGCTTAGACCTCTCCTTCCCGGGAGCGCGCGCGCTGGCACACGCCTCTTCCCACCCAGCCCGCCCCCCCCCCCCCCCCCCCGCCATGCCCCCCCCCCCCGTCCCCACGGGCGGAGAGCAGAGGCCCGGGAGGAGTACTAGTGGGGGGCGGCCCCGCACGCCCGGCCCTCCCCACAGCTACGCTCCGCCCTAGGCGCGCTCCCTCCCGGACGACTCGCAGCCCGAACCCTACCAGGTCCTGGGCGGTGCTCACGCCTTCCCTTAATCCCAGGATCGGGTCCGTTTTAGGTTTTCTCCTCAAGGGAGGTCTAGACATCCGGCTGGACTTTAGACCCCCGGCCAGAGAGCCAGGGCACTGGGATCCAAGTCCATCTTTCCCTTTCTTCCCGTTTTCACCCGTGACAGGAGGGTGGCACTGCTCTCCCCAAAGAGACTGAAGAACTCGGCCCCTTGCCCACATGGTGCTGCAAGTCCCGGCACGAAAGGAGCTATGCCCTCCCTCCAGCCGCCAGGAGCAGCAGCAACCCCGGAGGGGTGGGAGCCGAGAGTGAAGTAGGGGAAAGGTGGAGGCCCGGACAGCCAGATTTCTGGAGGGGCCACGGCGGAAGCCCCTCCCCTTGGGCAAAGGTACAATAACTGGGGCCAGCCAGCTAATGCTTTCCATCCTAGTTTTAATTGCGGCAGAGAAAACTGGGGAACGAGCGAGGAAGGAAAAAAGGAGGCGTCCAGGAGTTGAAACGTTCAAAGGAAGGAGTAGCAGCTTTGAGGGAAGGGAGAACCTGGATTCTGTAAAAGACAAATTTGCAGGCTGAACAGGAGAAGCTGTCTGCAGTCGGCCCAACTTCACTCCTCTCTCCTCAGCCTGCCCCTCACAACGTCCCAGGACAGCAGGGGAACAAAAGCATAGCCAAGGAGCTCTTTTCTGCCGGTACACATGGATGGGCAAGTGGCCAGACTGTGGAAGAGAGTTCTTTTTCCCAGGTATCTGATCTCTCTCCCTCACCCCCAAGCATTTAATCCTCCAGTAGTTGGTAAGCACCAGAGTATGACAAATACCGGCTTTTGGAAGCCTCTGGTTTCTTGAGAGATGGGTAAAGACAAACAGCCTTTTGGGAGGTGGTGCCAGCATCAATTTCTGCCTGGACAGGTCAGTGCCTGGTCTGCACAGCCAGTGGCAGCAAGGATGGAGGCATAGAAGCAAGAAGGATGGGGGGGCGGGGGGTAAAGCCAAGCCTTCTGCTCCAGACAGAGGAGGAGGTGGGCAGGAAGAGAGAAGGGGAAGCTGTGAAGGGGGGGGTGCCCATTAAATCAAGACCACCTGTACGTGCACAGGGTAAGTGGGGGCAGCAACTCCGGCACAAAAGAGGTTCTGGCTTGTTTTATTGTCATTTAAAAACAACTTTTAAAATGCGATTATCTCTGCCAAAAAAAAAAAAAACGAAACAAAGACAGAACCAAGGAAATGTGACCATTTGACAGTTCTGTGGAACGTCTCTGGGACTCCCTGGGCTCTGGCCTGACTTGAGGTGCCAGCTTCAGGCCAGCACAAGCCTCCAGGTGGGGCTGTGGCCTCCCTCTCAGGTTCCTTCCCAAACACTTGTGGCATCTGGCCCATGGAGAGGAAAAGGCGACTTGACCATGTCACAGATTAAATGCCCACTTCATACTGGTGTATGGAGGGCAACTATATAATGCCTGTTCAGAGCAAATCAAGACCTGAAGGGGGAAGTTGGAAGGGGCACCCACACAGTTTTCACTCTCATCCTAGCCTCTCTGGCCAGCTGCCCCTCTGCCATTTCTCTTCTCTACTGAAACACTTTTGGGGGAAGCCGGGGGAGGGGGCAGGAGGCTTAAGACTTCCACCACAGTCCAGGTTTTGTACAGCCTCTGGTTTCAGTGGGAACCCCAGTATCAGTGGGAGCAGCAGTGTGATGCGGCTGGAGGCCCCAGAGAGGAGGGAGGAGGGACTGGGGGCTGCACAGCAGCTTCTCAGGCTGCGCTGAAGGAGGCAGCTCGTCCTTCTCCCAGGGTGAGCTCTGGGATGGGGACAGCGTGTTTCCCCTACGGTCTCCCCAGCCCCTATTAACCTCTGATTCACCAAGGAGGGGAGGACAGTCCAACTGGGGGTGGAATGGGGAACACAGGGCCTCAGTCACTGTCAGACCCCACTGCAGAGGACCCCTTCCGTTTCCGCTTGGTGGGCTTTGGTTTTGTGTCTTCTTCCTCCTGGAAGAGATGGAGGGGAGGGAATCACTAGCCTGGGCAGCGGCTGGCCCCAACTCTACCTGCACCCCAACTCTCCTTTTCCTCCTGTGCATGGCTTGCATGGCCAGGGGTCTCACCGAGGCACTGCTGGAGCCTGACTCTTCCTCAGCATTGGGGGGCTGTGTGGCATTCTTTCGACTTCGGGGGCTGGACAGAGCTGCTTTTCGCCGGCTCTTGGGTGGCTTGGTGGAAGAGTCCTCGTATTCCTCTGCCAGGGAGAAGAGATCGCTGAACCTAAGGGAGAGAACAGACTCTCAGAGGGTGGGGGTCCTGGCCCCATGGCCATCCTCCCATCCTTTTCTCTGACCCCATGCCAGGGTCTCCATTTGTTCTCAACTCCGTGGTCTTGCTGGTCACTAAGTTTGTGTCCCCAGCAGGCCACCCTCACCCAGGCCTTCTCCCACTACTTCCCAAGGCCCAAAGTGCAAGGAGCCTCACTTCATCTTGTGGGCTTCATCACAGCTCGCCTGGACGTGCTGCAGAGCCTGCAGAATTGGGGTCTGGCTGAAAACTAGAGGGAGGGAGAACAGGGAAGGAGGAACAGTGAGGTGTCTGAGAGCTGCCCCACCCGGATCCACGGGTGGTGTGAGCCAGGGCAGTGCTATGCACTCGGAGAGGGTAGGAAAGCATACAGTTCTGCTTGGTGTTGGTCAGGTTGAGACGCAGGTTGTCCAAGTGCTCTAGGATCTGCTCCAGAGTCAGCTGGGCCAGCTTGCTGCTGGAACTCCTCAGGCTGCAGGGAAGTCACAAGAGCCAGAGTCTGAGCTTGGGGTGATGGCTCCAGGAGAATGAGACACCCTCCCCCACTGAGGTCCCTCCTTAAGGCAGAGGCAGCCCATACGGAGAAGGGGAGAGGAGGGCTGGGAGGGCCCGGCAGGGTAAGGAAGGTGTGCCTGGAACAGGGACCAAAGACAGGGCACTAGGAAAGGAGGGGAAGGGGATACAGTGGTCCTGCACGCCAGGTAGCTTCACACCACTAGATGTCGCCCACAAGCCAGGCAGGGACCGAACTGCACGGCCCTGGTGCCGGCCTGTGGACAGCGGGCAGCCCTGGCATGGAGGGTCCCACCTCTGCCTCTTGCGCGGGAGGCTGTTGTTCTTGATGAGCAGGGACTTGATGTGCTCAGCCAGCAGCTCGTCGTGCTTCATGCACCAGTGCCTCAGGATGCTGGTGGTGAACTGGTCGTCGGGGTGGCAGGGCCGGCTCAGCACCATCTTTACCATCTCCTCGCTGGGCCTGGGGGCGAGGGGAGCGGGGCGCCCTGCTCACACAGCTGGCCACAGCTGCCCCTGGAGCTCTCCCACCGGCTTTTTCCCCAGACCTCGGCCTCCCCATCCCTGCGCCACCCCCAACTTGCGGCAGCTTCCTACTCTCACATCCCTCTCCTCCTTCTCTCTGGGCCAAGGAACGCCTGGTTTCATCCTCTGCGGAAGCCAGGAGACAAGAAGTGAGACTCTTCAGCTTCTGTGACAGTAGAAGGTGCGTGTGTGCGCGTGCATGTGTTGGCAGGGAGGCCCACTAAGTCTCCCGCACTTTGCCCAGGACAGTCAGGAAGTGGGCCATGGAGGCAGGAGGACAAGTGTGTGGTGTGTGCATGCTCCCCAACCCCTGCCCCACTGGGTGGGTGGGCCACCCTGGTGTCTAGCCCGAGGAAGGTACAGGGGAGGTGGCGGGAAGCCACAGCCCCTACGCAGCCCTCCAACCTTCCCGCCTCCTTTAGGAAGCGCTGGACCATGTCTGCTCTCCCAGCCAAGAGAGGAGAAAAGGTGGAAGGCAGGCAAGAAGGTAGGAAGGAAAAGATACACAGCTGTGGCCCCATGTATCTGGGGCTTTTGGAAAAGTGCCTGTGACGGAGGGAGGGGCCTCTGCCTTCTCGCCCTCTCCGCCCCACCCCTGGCAGCGAGCACGGGGGTCCAGCTGGCCCTGCTTTCCACAGGTTGAGCGAGGGGCTGGTGTCTGACCCCCCTACTCTGACCCTTCCTCCTCTTGGATTAGCTGCGTGGTGGCCTCAGGAGCACGGGGGGAGGGGAGCAGGAGCCACCGGGGATTAGAACTGCTGTGGCAGCAGGAAATGGGGATGTCCGGCCCCCACCTCTGAGGGCAGCTCCTGGTGGGCAGGGGGGTAAAGTCGAGAGGAAGCCCAGATCCCAAGGGAGCTGCTTATTTGTAAATCACTTTGGGGGAAGGGTAGAATAAGCAGATGTCAACAATAGGAAAAAACACGGCCAAAGGAGCAGGACAGGAGCCCTTTATATGGCAGCATCTCTTGGTATGTTGAGATTGAGGACTAAAGAGCCCCCGAGGGTGGAACTCACTTCTCTCTTCGGAGCTGAAGCAGTAGGCAGGACAGGGCCTCTGGGTGCTCTGTGGGGGAGGGGAGAGGCTGTTCAGAGGAATGCAAAATTCCAGGAAGAAATCCTGGCACCTCTCCCATCCCCCAACCAACAGCCACTGAAAGGAGCAAAGATAATCAGCAAGACACCAGGAAGAACAAGCCCCTAACCCACTGCTCTAAAATCCTGAGCCACCTGAGCCCCAGTCTAGCACTTGGCTCAGAGGAAGCCTGCAGGATACACCTAAAGGGCAGAAGCGACTGACAGGGAGCCTGCCTTTTCGCACTTGGCACTTTGGTGGGAAGGGGGACGGTGGATCTGGGCTCATCTAGAAAGAAGCCCAGTGGCCTAAGCCTTGCAGCAGCTGGACTGGGAGTGCCCTCTTCCTGCCGTGTTCCACACCCACAACCCTACTCACCTTTGTACTTGAGGTGCTGCAGGATGGGGATTATGGTCTCCAGGGGGATGTTGTGGGCCAGGAAGAGCTGCCAGGCACAGTACTGCTCAAAGGTTTCCCAGTCCAGGCTCTGGACTGAGGAGACAGAGAAGAGATACCCTCATTCATATTCTCAATCTCCCTCTCCCTCTCTCTCTCTCTCTCTCTCTCTCTCTCTCTCTCTCTCACACACACACACACACCTAATCCACTATCAACCGCCCAGGCATGGTATAGGGGTGGAGACAG